TGAGGGATCGCTCGCCTGCTGGCCCTGGCTCTCGATTTTCGCGTCGCTCGTCGTCGCCCGCCGCCCTGTGTTCTCGCCTGGAGGAACTCGGCTGCGCAAGGATCGACAGGATCGACAGGAGCAGAGACAGGAGTCTCTGTTCAGAGCCTCAGGTCCACTGCCATGCAGCAGGCATGGCGCTTGGGCCTCCGAAGGGGGGGCCGACCGGTCGACCTGGAGTGTTGCAAGGGCACGTTCGCGCCCAGTTTGGTGGGACCTCACAGGTAGAACGCGTGTTTCGGAGAGACCCGTGTCTCTTTCCAGAGGGAAGTCATGACCACTGCGATACAGCAGGTTGGCATGGCGCCCGGGTTTCCCAGGGGGGGTGGTCTTGGTTGATGCACGGTCCCATTCGCGCTGAGGTTGATTGGACCTCTCTGGTACAATACGTGTTTGGGGGGATGCGCTGATCCGTTTTCAGAGGCCCGTGGCCATCTCCATCAAGCAGGCGCCACACTTGGGCATTCCAAGGGCGGGTTCGGCCTGGGGTGTTGCATGGGCGCGTTCGCGCCGAGATTGGTGGGATCTCTTAGGTAGAACGCGTGTTTCGGGGAAGGTGGGTTCCTCTGCGCAGCCCCATGATAATCCCCAGGTCGCAGGCATGACATGTGGGCCCTAGGGTGGGCGACCTGGGATGATGCACGGGTCCGCTTGGCTGCAGATTGGTGAGACCTCTCAGGTAGAACGTTTTCTTCCGGGGGGACACGCGCTTCTTTCCAGAACCAGATGGCCATCGCGTCGGAGCAAGCATGGCACGTTGGCCGACCTAGGGGGTTGTTCTGTGATTTGTTATCCATATGACAGCCTTCCTGACTCTTGCACTTCCCTCTCACCTCCCCGCCACGCGGCCGTCTCGGATCTTAGGGTCCTTGAACTGTGTGGCGGGCTGGCTGCGGGCGCGCACGAGCTTTTGCAAAAGGAAAGCGAATGCGCTTTCTCTCAACACGGGTCCATATACGTGCACATCGCGTCTCTTTGTCTTCCATGCGGTTACCATAATGCCGTTCCACTGTGGTAACGGAGCCTGCGTGGCTCCGGTCCCAAGGAAAGTCAGGTAGGCCCCCCTTGTCATTCGACTTTCGGGGGCAAGCCCTTTTTCTCCTGCTTTTTCCAAGTCTCTACCCCCCTGTGTCGTGCGCCGCCATGGAAACTGAAGCAGACGCGCAGCGAGCAGCCACAAGAAGACGAAGTCTTTGAATATCCTCGGCAGGAAGAAGGTCAAAATCCTTGGGCGGGAAGGGGGAAACGAGGAGATGTCCTTTGGAAGGACGACGCCGAAAAGGGCTGGTCAGATGCTGACTGGGTCCGTTGGTTTGCTAAGCAGGGGATTTAAGAACAGCCCAACACGCAATCAGCCTCATCAGGCTGGAACCGGCAAGGTCGTGGCTCGCCGTTTGGAGCAGCCAGGTTGAACACTTTTGCGGGGTAGTGCGGCCCCGCTCGCACCGACCAACTGGGGTAATACCACTGCGAGATCTACTGATCGACGTCGGGGAAAATGTCCTGAACAATCGGGGGCTCCACGTATACCAGATGACTTACCTCTCACCTGGGATGGACAAGATCCTGGTACACGTCTGCATCCATACATGAAGGAGCTGCGTATGTGGCTCACTAGTGTAAGGACGCTAGAGAGGCAGCATGGATACTTCATATACCGCTACGCGAGGGACGACCTCAGGATTATCATCCAAACGCTTACCGAAGAGCTGCTGTCCGCTGAGGGTAGCGGGCAGGTGTTGGTCAAACGTGTCAGAAAGGCTTTTACCGAATACCAAGACCGCAGGATGCTCAAGGCATCTGAGATGTTGTTCTATCCTGAAGATGCTTAACGCAAGCGCGATGAGTCAAAGGTCAATTCTATGGCTGGCAATCTCGCAAGCGTGCTCTGCCTCGAACTTGATAAGCATGTTATGTTGCCATCGGAGTTGGAAGGGCACATGCTTCTCCGAGTCCATGCTCAACGATGCCGCCCGCAACGCTGTCGAGAACTGGACTGAGGGCTCCTGCGACTTCCATGTGGTGAGAGAGAAGCTTCGTAGGTTAGAACGTCCATTGCCTTCAGGAAAAGTGGCCGTCGCATCCATGGAATGGGTTCCTCTCATTTCATCGGCTACCAGGGTGATGAAGAAAGATGCGAAGAAGAGGTGTCCGATCACGACGACGTTCACTGGGTTGTCATGCTCGTCCACTGTGCTGGAGGTCTACAAGGAAGAATATATCTTGAACGAGGCCCGCAGGTTTGTCGACGATGAAGACGTGCCCTTCGTAGCCGGAGACTGGCCGGAGGGCGTGATTCTAGAGGAGGATGGAGTTGTCGCCATCGATGCGAATTGCAGTCAAGTCCGACAGCCTCTGCGCAAGAGGAAGCTCGGACGGGGCTTCTTGAAGCAATCTCCGCCGAAAAGAGATAGCAAGGGCTTTCGGAGGGGGGGGCGCCGCGGGAAGCGCGGAGCGGCCGCGCCGGGCCCAGGCGCTGGCCGAAGTGTAAGTTGACGAGATGCGGAACGATGCGCCCGATGCGGGGCGATCGGACACCGGGCTCGAGACTGCGCGAACGGGCCAGACGAGCGGGGAGAGAAACGTCAAGCTGTCTTCAGTGGCCCCCAGGCTTCCCCCATCGAAGCGGCTGCTATTCCACAGGGCGCCCGTCGCACGGGCGCGCTACTCAGCCAGGCGTCAGTTCTTCCAATTACATTACCTTTGCAATTGCAGACGAGCTGGGGGGGGCGCATCGGACTCCAGGCCCGGATGGATTTCGGCGCAGTTGATGTTGAAGCTCGGCGCGGAGTCCGCGGGCAGGGTCATTTCGACAAACCGGTGAAAATACTTCGGGGGCGCATGCGGACTGGGGCACATCTGGGCCCCGAATCTCGAGATGGACGCCGCGGGCGCCGGCGGATCTACCAAGTTCCTTTCCAGCTGGGCTCCGCCCGTTGGCGCTGCGAAGAACTGCGGCGCTCTCGCGGCGCGCGTGATCCAGGTGGACGTTCCGCTCCTGCTTCCAGCGGAGCTGCTTCGTCTGTTGGGGAAGGCGCTTGACGTGCCGGGCGGGAACATCACTCGGGAAGCGCTCGGCGGCGGCAGCCAGCCGAGGGCGTGCGAAGTAGGCCCAGGTAGGCAAGATGACCTGGCAGAGAAAGCAGAAACCCAAGACCGTCTCTCCGAAGACTCTGGGATATCACCAAGTTCTGGTGCCCAAGGATTCATTTTTCTGCGTGGGTCCGAAGGCGCCCCTGGCTCAGACAAGACATCCTCAGCCAGCTACCTCGACGCTGAGCCGCGCGGGGCGCGTCCTGTCGAGGAAGGAACCGCCGCCGGGGCCCCGGTCGACCGCTGCGAGATCCAGCCGATCCTTCTTGGCGCCGGAGACGCGGTCGTGGAAATAGCACCGCTTGCGCATCAGGCATCTGGAGATTCTCGATCACGCGACCATGAAGCGCCGCGCGGAAGCACGCATTGGCGCCGCGACCCGAGATTTTTTCACGCGAGTCTTCAAGATCAACGCAGGGGAGCGGTTCGTGGCCGGCAAGAGGGTCCTACCCGGCCCCGCCGGCAAGCGGCAAGCAGACCAACGAGCAGGCTGTCTGTCTTCGCCAGAAGATGGCGCGCGCCACCGGGGCAGCGCCAGGATTCCTTGGTGGGCGCGCGACGCGAGCCAGATGCGTTGGACGAGGCGCCAAGTTCCGGAATACCGTTTGGACTGGAGAACCAAGCGGCGACGTGCGGGCGAGTTCGGGACGTGCGCGGGCCACGCCGTCAAGGAGACCTACGAAAAGGATTTCCAGCCTTGCGAGTGGTGCATGAAGACCCGCGAGTCAGGCGAGCCGATGACTCAATGAGGATTTTGGCGCCTGGCGACGCGCGCAGCGACCCGCGAGACGCAGGCGACCATGATGGACGGGGGCGGTGTCGAGGCCGTCGCGGAGGAGGGTGCATGTCCGAGTGCATCGTGAGCCCCGCGAAGTACTCTTCACATCGACAGCCGCTGTCGGCTCTCTTTCTGCAGATGAATAAACCGTCGATCTGCGATGAGGAGGAGGCAGCAGAGGAAGAGGAGGAGGACGAGGAGGAGGAGGCGAGGGAGGAGCAGGCGGATCAGGAGCAGGAGGACGCGCGAACACCGCTGGGAACCACCTTGGCTGAACACACGCTGTTTTGGGATACTGGGCTCTGGCTGTTATTAGTTGGGAACTCTTCGGAGTCCCATGTTCACTGCGATGAGGTAGGCATGCCATTTACGCATATCAGGGAAGGTCAACCAGGGGTGTTGCACAAGCACGGTCGCACCAACATTGGTGTCACCTTGGTAGTCGCCATGCGCCAGGCGTGGCAGTTTGGCCCTCCCGAGGGATTGACCAGTTCGCGCCCATATTGGTGGAAGATCCTTGGGACCTCTCATGTAGAACGATGGCTATCAGGGAGACATGTGTGTATTTGCAGAGCTCCACGATCCTTGCGATGTAGCAGGCATGGCGTTTAGGTATTCTGGGGGGGGGCGGTGCGGGTTGTTGCACGGACCCGTTCGCGCCCAGATTGGTGGGACCTTCCATGTAGAACGAGTGTTGTCAGGGAGACACGTTTCTCTTTTCAGAGTGGGCGCGAAGGCGACCGTGGCGACAAGGGCGGCCCAGACCAGCCCGCGCCAAACACATCCAACATCCCGCCATTATCTTCTCGCCCCGCCTTAGAGGAGAGGAGGAGCAGGACAAACTTGTGGCATCTGGCGAATCCCGAGGACCGATTGCTTCGCCCTGAAGGTGGCGCGCGCCACATGGCGCGGGAGCTGACGCCCCTGCGCCACATGGCATAAACGACCCAAACCAGGCGGGGGCAGCGCGCCGACATTCTGCGCCTACGGAACAGTCGCAGCCATGAGCCCGAGCGCTTACAGGAGGAGAAGGCGGGGAGGGATGCGAGGAGCACGAGGTTGCACCCAAGCACTACCCAGGAAGTGTACCTCAGCCCTCCTCCCGCAGCGACTCCTGCATGGGGAGCCTCACCTAGAGGTCGTGCTCCAGCGAGGTCTGGCGCCACATGCTGTCGAGGCGGATCCGCGCCCGCAGGTGGCCTGCCCCGATGAGCTTCCCCGAACACCACGAAGATCCGCTGCGCCTCGCACTCGTCCTGGGCCTCATGGGTCTTGTCCTCCATCATCTCCTCTATGTCCTCGGCCTTGCGGTCGGCCGCCACGCCACTGCCCTTGAAGCTGCCCTGTACGGAGGACCGCCCGGACTTCTCATTGCGAGTCTTCTTGCCCTTCGGCCTCTGTGTTTTCGCGATCACGGCCTCGGCCGCCAAGGTCACGCCTCTGCTGTCGAGGCCGATCATTCTGCCTCCATGGCCGAGGTCGGCCTCGGCCGTCTCGTCATCCATCTTCTCTTCGTCGGCACCAGGAGCAGCGCGCCCACCAGCAGCAGGGACGGGCCCCCGACGAGGAGTGCTTCCAGCGCTGGGAGCCGCCTCTTCGCCCAGGGGCGCTGGCTCAACTCGCCCTCGGTCTCCTCGCCCAGGCGTGGGTCGCCCCCGCCCGCGCGCGGGTCGGCCGAGTTGAGCCAGGACTCGGCCCATTCCCGCGCGGGCGGCGCGCAGGCGGGCTCGGCCCCGACGAGCTCCACGTGCGCGTCCGCGTCGACCATGTCCGCGAAAGCTTGGGTCTCGATCTTCGGCTCGTGGACGACTGCCTCAACTTTCTTTCTCTCGCCCGCTGCGTCCACCTCCGCGGGCACGAGCTCCTTCACAGGGGAGGCGGGCGGCCGTCATGGCCTCAGCCTCGGCCTGGGCAGCCCTGGCAGCCCAGGCCGCAGCCCTGGCCTCCATGAGCTCCTCCGCCAGCTCCGAGGTAAGCCGCTGGGCCTGGGCCTCAGCGACCACGTTGAAGTACTGCTGGACCGAGGTGTAAGATCGAGTTCGGTTCGGGGAGGGTGCCCCAATGTTCTTCGTGTTTGTTGGAGGTTCTTGCGCATCCTTGGGGGGGTACCCTGAAGGATGGTTCTTCTGTCCCGGCGGAGGGTCTCATGTCTTTGAAGGATGTTGTTCTGTCCTAGGTCCGGCCGTACTCTTCACCGAACGTCTCGACCTGCGGCACTTGCACCTGGATCACGTTCTTGCTTTCTTCCGCCCCGTCCGCCACCGCGGGCACGAGCTCCTTCTCGTTCACCTGGGCGCCGACCTTCAGCGCGTGCGGTACTGCTGGATCGAGGTGTAAGATCGAGGTCGGTTCGGGGAGGGTACCCTATTGTTTTTCGTGTTTGTTGGATGTTCTTGTGCATCCTGGGGGAGGGTACCCTCGAATGTGCTTCGGTTTGGTCGGCGGATGGTCTCATGTTCTTGAAGGATGTTGGTTTGTCCCAGGTCCGGCTGTACCTCGACCTTCTTCTCCACGTCGTCGGCCAGCGGCGCCTCCACGACCTCCTTGATCGTCATGGCGGTCGCCGCCGACCCCTCGTCGATCTTGACAGTGCACTTCACCTGGAATCCCTGCGCCTTCGCGACCTTGACGAACTCGACGTCCTTGACCTGCGGTGGCTCCGCGACCTCCTCGATCGTCTGGGTGTCTAGAACAGGGAAGCCTGGAACTTCAGACAGCTGTCCACACGGTCGCCACCTGCCGCCCGCAGGCTCGCAGGTGTCTCAACCGACGCGGGGTCCAGCGCTCGCGCCTGACACTCCTCCCCCCTCTCCGCCGGCGTGTCCAGGCCGCCGATGAAAACCTCGAGGGGAGGGTCTGGGCTCCGCCCATGGCCACGCCACCACCAGCCCCGCGTGCACGCCACCACAGCAGCGCCAGCACGCCGCCGAGAATCCGCTCCCCCAGCAGCAGCGTGCTGGTCTCCAGCGCATGCCTGGCGCCCAGCTCCAAACGCGTCATGCTGCCAGCTCGCCTCGCCATCTTGCGCGGCACTCGTCCTCGAGCCGCAGGCCTTGCCCCAGCCAGACACATTAAGCGTCGGGACCTGTGCAGATGGGGCCTAAAACTGGCAAGGCGCCAGCTACTTTGGAGCCCAGATGGCTTGATGAGGAGGAGGAGGAAGAATCGGGAGGAAGAATAAGAAATAGAAGAAGAAGAAGAAGAAGGTGGAGGGGGAGGAAGGGGAGAATGAGGGCAGGGGAGGGAGGGGAGCAAGGAGAGATGGGGGGGTAGGAGGAGCAGGAGGAGGAGGAGAAGGAGAAGGAGGGTCATAAGCTTGGAGGGGGAGGGGGAAGGGAGGGCATTGGGAGGAGCAGGAGGAGGAGGAGAAGGAGGAAGGGGATGATAAGATGGAAGTGGAGGAGTTGGTAGGAGGAGGAGGAGGAGGAGGAAGAGGGAGAAGAGGAGAAGGTGGGAGGAGGAGGAGGAGGAGGAGGAGGAGGAGGAGGAAGAGGAGGAGGGCGGAGGATGAGGAGGTCATCCCTCCTCCCCCAGCCGAGGTTCGTGCGCTGGTCCTGGAGGCCCCACGCTCGCGCGCGCGGACGACTCTTTCGCCTTGGAGAAGGCTTGCGGTAAAAGGCAATGTCCTCCTCTTTCGTTGGGGGCAATTCAGGGTCCATTTCGATCCAATCGATCCGATTCGGTGTCTTCTTTGGCTGGCCCAGTCCGATTCGATTCCGATACTCCGACAGTTCGATGCGGCCCGATGTCTGCATGGCGTTCTTGTGCATCCTAGCGCAGCCGATTCGATTCGATTTCGACTCCGTGCCGATGCAGCGCGACCCGACGAAGATTTCGATTCGTTCCGAGTTCCCGATTTGGCGTTGATTGATTTGATGATGAGCGTTGTAGCAATTGCGGTGGCTATGTTGAAGGTTGACCGGCATGGCATCGGCCTTGGTCAATAGATCGAGTCTTTTTGGTCGTGATATTTCCACTACTGCATCTTATCATGATGGTGGTGCTACCAGCTATTAGCGATGGTAATGATGTTAAGACACATGCAACAGTATAGCAACGATGATGGCGGTCATCACGCCAGACGATGATTTGCATGGTGGTGACGCTGAAGGCCAATAATCTAATGATGGCGGTCACGATGACATCGACTGGTATGCGAAACTTGCTCAAAGTCAGTCCCCCATCAGCTCTCAAAAAAGGCTCTGCCGCAAAGGATTGCGTTTGATGAGAATCGAGTGCCCGCCGAAATCCATATAGAATCCATTTGTCCGCCGCCTGGCGACCACCTCGAAATCCCATGTCAGCGTTCGTGGCCACTTCGTGCTACATTTTTCTTGCTTAAGCCCTTCAACTGACGCTCCGTTTCCCGTAGGTACTGAGCTGCGAGCGGCCATGGCATCCACGTTCACCATCTCTCCCGTCACCCGTATCCAGCTGCCTGAGGCAAGTCCCGCCACAGTGTCATTCAATGACGATGACGATGAGATGATGAAGAGGAGCAGGATAATATGGATGATTGTGGCGAATGACTGGAATGAGTAACATGTTGATGATGACGATGGTGATGGTGGTGATGATGATGTGGCGGATAAGGAGGACGAGGACGAGGATCGTGATGCTGATGATTATGATGATGATGCTGCTGCTGAGGATGATCAATGATATGATGATGCTGGTGGTTACTGTGATTGTAATGATGATTGTGATAATGATAATGAGTATGATGATGGTGATGGTGATGATGGTGATGACGATGATGATGGTGATGCTGATGCTGCTGATGATGATTGTGATGATGATGGTAATGCTGATGCTGTTGATGATGCTGTTGCTGATGATGATGCTGATGATGATGCTGATGATGCTGATGATGATGATGATGATGATGATGATGATGACGAGGATGAGGAGAAGGAGCAGGAGGAGGAAGAAGAAGAAGAAGAGGACAGCCGTCACTCGTGACACCTGTCGTCTTCACTTCTCGAGGTGCTCTCATGAACCTCTATTGGGCCGTCTTTGGGCTGGCCTGGGCTCCTGCGGGGAAGTCTTGCGGGTCGCTTCGGGCCGTCTTGGAGCCCTGTTGGGCCGTCGTGGGGCCATGCTAGGCCGTCTTGGGACTCTCTGGGGCCGTCTGCGGCTGTCTTGGCCGTGTGGAGGGTGCATTGTGGCCGTCGTAGTGCCATCTGGGCGCTGCCTCCGGCCGTCGAGCTGTCCTCTGAGGCTGTACCGGCTCCCTCCGGAGGCCCTCTGCAGCCAGTTCGGGGACGTTTTGGAGGCCTTTTGCGATGCGCCCGTATTGAAACGCAAATGCGTTTCGTGATGGCTCAAAGTATTGGCCCACGCTTTGGCCAACGTATCGCGCGATGCCTACGTTTTCAGTCGACGTGTTGAGCTCGTATTAATACGCCACGTGTTGCGTGTTGCGTATCAGGGCAGCTCAGCCTGGGCCATCTTCGGACTCTCATGGGGGCCCCTGGAGGTCATCTTGGAGGCTCCTTGGGCCATCTTGAGCTGTTAGGAGCCTGAGAATTCGAGAATGCGAAAGTCCTTCAAAAACGAACGGGGAGTCAATGGTTTTGGCCTCGTCTTGTGGCCCTCTCGGGTCCTCTGGGAGGCATCCTTGGGCGCCTTGAGGCCATCTTGGGCCGTCTTCGAGGCATCCCGGGCCAGCTTGGCGGCCTTCGTTGCCTGCCTGGGCCGTCTTAGAAGCTCGGGACGCGGACCAATCGTTTGTTTACAAAGGGTCGTAGCACAGGTAACTCGAAATAGGGGGGCGATGCATGCGGATAGACGCTGGTAGAGTGGGGGGGGGCCTGATTATAATAGAAAGCCTTGCCATGCAGCCCTTGGCATTCTTTCACGCCTCAGCGTGCACAAGGCACATTGGCGGATTTCGGTGCGACAGGATGTCCAGGAAGTGCGGTGCGAAAGGAACATCGATTGCCCGACGGCATTCTTGAGCGCGTTGCCCGAGGTGGACACCCCAGCTTTGGGAGATCCCCTGGGCGGCTTGAGGACTGCAACATACAGAGATCTCCATCGATTTATGGCATCAAATGGTTGTCTCCGCGCTCGTGGCATCGAAGAGGCTGACGTGGTTGCGATCTTAATGCCGAATGGCCCGGAGATTGCTCTGGTGTTGTTGTGCTGCATGAGCCAGTGCGTTGCGGCCCCTTTGGATCCGTCCACCGGAGAGGACGATCTGTCGGACGCAATGGTACAGCTGACTGCAAGGCACGCAATTTGGCTCCAGCAGCACAAAATATACAGCAACACAATCGAGGTTGCTTGTCGGAAGGCGGGATGCAGACCTCAACCGATCGTCCGAGCTGGCACTCTAGCGGGACACTTCTCGTGGGCCGAAACTGTCCAGCGCACATTGTCGGGAGGGTTGCCAGGCCCTGCTGCTGACATGGACGATACCGCACTGGTCCTGCGCACCTCGGGCACCACATCAAAACCCAAGGTCGTACCCCTGACCCGCCGTGGCCTTTTCACAGGCGCCACGTGCATAGCGCATGGCCTCGGGCTGAAGACTTCGGACTGCTGCCTGAACGTCATGCCACTCACCCACATAGGCGGGATATCGTGCTCCCTGCTCTCTACGCTGTTGACCGGCGGCCTCGTGTACTGCGCGCCGCGCTTCGACCCGGGCAGCTTCCTTGAACTATGCGAGTCGTTGCGGCCGCAGCCCACGTGGTATTACGCGGCTCCCACGATACACAAGGCAATCGCTCTGCATTGCAAGCGCCTCCCAGAGCCCCCGAAGCACAGTCTCCGATTGGCGCGGAGCGGAGCCGCCAACTTGGCCGACGCCGATGCCAAGGAGTTGCGGGAGCAGCTGGGAGGCTGCATTGTATTGCCGACGTATTCAATGAGCGAGTGCATGCCCGTCGCTCAGCCACCGGAAGGATACAATTTAGAGAAGACAGGGTCTGTTGGTGTTCCTATCGCCTCGTCGCTTCGTATCGCCGACTCTGCTGGTGTTGCACTTGCTTACGGTCACGATGGCGAGGTTTGTATCCGGGGGCCCGTCGTGATGCGCGGCTACAAGGAGAACGCGAAGGCTAACGCAGACAGTTTTTTCAAAGACGCCGATGACGGTGAGAGCTGGTTCCGCACGGGCGACGTGGGCCACCTGGACGACAAAGGTTTCTTGTTCCTCACGGGCCGCTGCAAGGAGCTCATCAAGCGGGGCGGGGAGCAGGTGACCTCCATAATCCTTCTGCAGCGGCATGGGTTTCGCGTGGGAGGAGGGGTCTCGGGGTTCCACGGGCTGGGTATAACGTAATGGTGTCCATCATCTATCATAGGGTTCGGGCGCAGAGTGTGCGCCTGAGCCCACACGGGCCGACACGCGTCATGACCGAGTTCGTGCGGTCTGCCTTCTGCCAGAGTCACTGCTAAAACGGAGCAACTAGTCGGGTCTACAACACCATCTATTAGACGAGTGTTCACCTGCAGCATCTTGAGCTCCCATCCCGTCACCTTTCACGCCCCGTCGCGTCCCCACCATCACCTCGCATCTCCGTATCCCATCCTATTTGCCCATCTTCCTCCTCCCCCCTCCACTCGTCCTTCTCCCGTCATCCCTGTCCTTGCTTGTCCTCTATCTCCGCGTCCTCCTACTAACTACTGTCCCCATCATGCAGTTCCTCCTCTTCCGTTTTCTCCTCACGCCCTTTCTTCCCTCTCCCTTTCAACCTCGTCCTTCCCCCATATCCTCGTCCCTCCGTGTGCCGCCACCCCCTGCACCCGCCCCATCACAATCTGCGCCCCACACCTAGCCCCCCTGGCCCACTTCTTAACCAGCGAGTGATCGCAGGCGAAGTGTTTGTGTGTGTGTGGTGTGGGGCTCGGCCTCCGTCTCCTTCCCGCTACCGCCGGACGCCTCTCCACCCCCCTCATGCACCGCGGCCAAATTCGCGTTCGTTCGTCCAACCAACGCCCTATCCGCCAGCGCAGTCCCTCTGCCTAGCCGCCGACGCAAAGTGTGTGTGCGTGGTGTGGTGTGTGTGTGTGTGTTCGTGTGTGTGTGTGCTTATTCGGTCGCCCTGTCGCTGCGCGCGGTGGGTGGCTCTGTCGCTGCGTCGTCGGCCCAGAAGCGCTATCCTTCCCGCGACCTCTCGCGTCCCCAGGGGAGGAAGGCAAGGCCGTAGCGCCCCGTGGCATTTTGCCACCCCGTTCTCGTCTCGCTTTTTTGCTGCCGCCTGGCCTCTGGGTCATTCGCTGTATACTTTGCTTCCCCGTCGTGTCCGCGCTGCGCCCTCCATGTGGGACGCCCCTTTGGGCGGCGGCCAGTGCGTTCTCCCTTCTTCCCGCCATCCACGCCCAGATGGCTATGTGCTGCCGCCCCCTCCTGAGCCAGCGCGCGCGTGCACCAGCCTAAGTTTTAGCCGCCTAGGTTTTGGCCGCCGAGCGCGAGGCCGCGACCGCCAAGCAAGTTTGTGCGTGCATGGTTGTGTGTGTGCGCGCGTGTGTGTGTGTGTGTGTGTGTGCGTGTGCGTGTGCGTTTGCGTGTGTGTGTGTGTGTGTGTGCGTGTGTGCGTGCGTGCGTGCGTGCGTGCGTGCGTTTGTGTGTGTGTGTGTTTCGGGTGTAGAGCCCAAAGCTTGCGCAGCTCAAGAGTGGCGTGGCTGCATACACCCCACCCCTCCTGATTTCGGCGAGAGACATGCGAAAGCTCCCTTCTAATGACCCCAGGGGAGCAGACCACGCTGCGTGGTAACAGCTTGAGCTACGAGATGCGTATGTCCACGGCACGATCTGCATGAATGGCGCACACCAGCCGGCGCAATGTCTCCCAACGCGAGCAGTTTACAGAAGTTACACCCGGAAAAGTATGTTTTTGGCACCGCGCACACAAGTTTCGAAGGTAGGCGAGCGTACAATTTGCAAGCAAGGCTGACAAAAGTTTCGAACTTGCTCTTGCAAGAAGCAGTTTGCGTCTGAAGTTGCTCCCAGATGACCACGAGGTGGCCACGAGAAGGCGACAAGGGGCCAACCGGCGGGGCCGTGCGCCACGAACCATTGGCCGCAAGCCATGGGCCACATAAGGGTCCGGGAGCCATGGGCACGAGCCACCCGCCACGAGCCAAAGGCCACGTGCGGGCAACTTCTGCCGACGGGGGCACCCCGTAAGCAGCGCGCGGCCGTGCCCCCATAATTACCCAGCACGAAGGGCGCTCTCGTGCAATTGGGTCCCCGAGCCCAGAGCTCTCGAAGGGAAACAGTACAAACGCATGTTGCGGAAGATGGCGTGATACCCCGACACAATACATTATCCAGCCTGGCCCCAAATAGCACGTTAGTGCAACGTGGATGTGCAAGCTGTGTGGTGCAATCATTAGGGCGCAACTTGTGTGGTTCTAGCGATGTGGTGCGAGCGACGTGGTGCGATTGATGAAGTCATTCATGAATTGCCCAGCCCACTGCTCGCGCAAACACCCCACCGTCCCACCCGCAACATGTTTTGCAAGACCCATGCGGCCGCGATTGCGGTGACCTCTTGACATTAATTGGCTCATCTCTGCGGCCGAGGGTGGCCCACGCACTCGCGCGCAGAACGGCCAACAAGATTGACACAACTGATGCGGCCGTGATGGGAGCTCCCCAACGCGTCTCCAAGGCCGCGCTGGCGCGCGGGCGCTTAATTGCGGGTCGATGACCTGGACGGGCGCGAAATCGTGATGATGTCGGCAACGGCGACAATCATGATAATAGTAGCATTGGTGGTGGCAGTGATGACGATGACGACGGCAAGGCCAATGAGATGATGACGCCCGTGTGTCGGTGATGGGGATGGTTGTGCTGATAATGGCGGCGATTGGTGATGAGGTGGGGTGATGACGGTGATGGTGAAGACGTGCGCGCGCAGCAAACTCTATCGTTAATAGCGTTTCGCTAGAGGGTTTTAACAGTGCTTGAGATTTCTTTGTCAGTATATTGAGCAACGCACAGGGAAGACGGGGAGGCCGAGGACATTTGGTCTGGCAGCCGTTTCGCCCGATATTTCTTCACACTTATGCAGGAACAGCATTCTCGCATCAATGCCTGTTTCATGTTTCGCCCAGACGGCCGCGGTTCCTTCTCAAATGATTCAGGTGCGAAGAAGAGTACCACAGGGGGGCGGGGAGCCCGATGCTTCTTTGTCCGGCAGCCGTGTCGCCGGAACCGTTTCCACAATTTGTTTGGCAAGCGCATTTTCTTTTCAATGTTGGTTGCATGTGCTGTCTGGGCGGCCACGACTCGTTGCAATTGTCGTGGCGAAGAACCTAACCATATGCATTTGCGAGCATCGCGATGCAAGTGAGATGAAGTAGCGGGGCCGGTGGAAGGATTGCGGCGTGGAACGGGTCGGGGCGGACGTGGGCGAGCGGGAAGTCTTTCCGGTTCCGCGCGAGCCCAGGGCGCAGCCGTTTTGCGTCCATTTCTTTCCCAGCTATGCACCCTTTTCCGTTTGTTTCCGTTGTGCGTCGCGTTTCTGCACGCCTGGGCGGCCGTGGCCCGATCCCAGGGCCCCCCCGTTTTGTGTCCAGGTCTTTCCCTTGTATTTGTAGTGGCAGCGTCCCCGGGCCGCGCAGTGCGAAGTCCCCGCTACGCGCGCTGGTCGCCCCGAAGGAAGCCCGCCGACGCGCGCGGGTCGTCCGCGGCTCGGAGCAAAAAACACGGGCGGCTGACAATGGGCGAGGCGCTGGACAGAGCACGCGGGTGTCAGGCAGTTCCCGCAAGCAGAGCGCAGGGGAGTCCCCGCGACGCGCGCGCTGGTCGCCTCGAAAGGACTCCAGCGACACGCGTCGGTCGTCCGCGGCGCGAGGCCACAGGCGAGGCTCTGGCCTGCCGCTCCTCACTTCAGGCCTCTCGGATGAACCCGGTGAAGCCCAATTCCGCGGCGACGGCCGTCGCTTCCCGCCTGCGCCGCATCGTGCGCGTCGGAAACGTGCCGAAGTGGGCGCGGCGTCGCAATTCGAACGCACCCATTTGGGTTTTCGGTTGAACTCCCTATGTGGCCACGACGCGTGTGAGTCGGGCCAAACGAAAGGGGGGGATAGGGAAAAAGGGGGGTTACGAAATTTGCTGCATGCAGCTGGTTTCGGCCCCGCCGCCGGGCCCATTCCTCGATACATGGGCGCCTCCCGGCGCCGGGAGGCGCCGGGAAAATCAGCTACGTGAGCTGATTCTCAAACCCCCCCTTTGCTATCGCCCCCTTTCGCCCGGCCCGAGTGAGGGGCGTACCAGCATACAGGCAGTGCCGCCACGCGAAGGCAGCCATTGGGGCCTTCGGTGGAGCTCCACGAAACGTGTGAGGTGTGTGCCGAATCGGGTGCGGTGCTGCCATGCGAACGCAGCCACTGGAGCTCCCCGTGTGGCCACGCTGATTGGAAGGGGTGTATTTGAATGGGTGCGGTGCCGCCATGCCCACGCAACCGTTTGGGCCCTTGGTGGACTTCACGATGGGATTACGAAGCGCGAGAATGGTGCCAGAGCTGGTGCGGTGCCGGTATGCGAACGCAGCCATTGGGGCCTGCCGTGGGAGCCTCTTTATGGCACCACGGAGTGTGTGAGGGGTGTGCCGACATGGGCGCGGTGCCGCCATGCGAACGCAGCCATTGTGGTCCTCGGTGGAGCGTCATAAGGGGCCACGGAACGTGTGAAGGGCGTGCGGGAACGGACGCGGCGCAACCATGCGAATGCAGCCACGAAGCGTGGGAGGGGTGTACCGACATGGGTGCGGTGCCGCCGTGCGAACGAGTTTTTGGTGAAGTTCCTTATGGGGGAGCGAAGCGTGGAATGGGTGTACGGATCGGGGTGCGGTGCCGGTATACGAACGCAGCCACTGGGGCCGTCAATGGAATTCTGTATGGGGCCACGAAGAGCGTGAGGGAATACCAAAATAGGTGCGGTGCCGCCGTGCGAGCGCAACCAATAGGGCGTTCGGTGGGACCCCATATTGGTCCACGAAGCGTAAGACATGTGTTCCCCAATTGGTGTGACGCCGCCATGCCACTGGTGTTTTAGTTGGAGCTTTCTATGGGGCAACGAAGCGTGTGAGGGGAATGCCGAAATGAGGACGTGCCGCCATGCGAGCGCAGCAAGTGGGGCTTGCCGTGGCGGTCCTTACGGGGCCACGAAGCGTGTTAGGGGTGTGCCGACATGAGCGCGGTGCGCCATGCGAAGTTTTGCCGTTGGTGCTTTGGTTGGAGCTCCTT